GATTTTAGATTGGAAACACAATAAAATACTAACACTCAGGGATTTGGGAATAGTCAGACACCTGCTAATATCGATGATTCGTTTTTAGATCGAATCAATGAATTGTTAAACGAATTCAATCAATGGCACCAGCGTGACCAAGAAGAACAATAACGTCGTCTATCATTTTATTTTTAGATCATATGTTACTAATTTTATGCTTTATTATAGTCCATGTGTGTTGATATACTTATTCCATGATATTATATGTTTATCCTTTTGTGTGATGTAAATTAAATGCTGAATGGCGGTTCATGCAGGGAAAGAACATATCAATATTCGCATATTCATTCAAAAACATGAAAATTCTTAATGGAGTACCCTCATTTCTTATTGAATTCCTAAAAATCAATATTTATAATGAATTTTAATAATTTTTTCGGATTTTTTTTAAGCTTTATTCTGACCTATTCACTCCATTCCCTATCCAGATCGTCGATTCGCCGATCTGGATCGGTTTTTTGGAAGCCCGATCCGGGTCACCGATCCGTTTTTTAAACCATTAGTTAGAACTTTAGAGAGATACTCCAGAATCTAACTGTTTTAGAATTAGCCGAACTAAGACAAAGTATATTAAATGCAAGTAATGATAGGAGTAGAGACAAGGAAGTAGTAAAGATTGGGGATTGTATACAATCAAACCATTTACTTTTGATACAAGGTGTCACAATTACTTATAACCATTTGATGTGAAATTTGATAGCTTAGATATATCACAAAGTCCGAGAAAATTTCTTTTGAAGTTTGACCTTGGCCAATAGAATAATTGCAACCACCCAATTTCACATCTAATGGTCAAGATTAATGTGACCACCTTGTACCAACGGTAAATGGTCTCATTCGATATTTTCATGTTAAGATTGACGGCCAAGAAATACCAAAAAAAGTGCAAGTTCAATATATTGGGTTGCTAATCTAAAAAAATGAAAAGATTGATGAAAATGTCGCACATAGAATTAGAACTTGATGGGCGAAGTAAATATATGCAACCGAAATTTTATGTGATTATTGTATATTAATTGAGGTGAAGGGCAAGTTCTGGAGGACAATTGTGGCACTAGTTTTGCTTTATAAGGTTGGAATGTTGAGTAGTCAAGAAATAACATACCCATAGAATGAGTGTAGTTGAGATAATGATGTCGATATTGATGAATGGCAAGACAAGACAGAGTAGAATTCGAAATGGATGCTTAGAATTCGAAATGAATGCATGTGGGATAATTTAATTGTGACACCAATAGGCGATAAGATGAGATAAAGTAGACTTAGGTGTGATGGTTATGTTGTAGGCTTGCAGCGCAAACCAAGTATAACATGTTAGGAAGTGTAAATTAGTTCAAGTACTTAACTAATGAAAATAATTAACACTAAACTGCCTAAAATTTAAATATCCAAAGTCACTCTTATCATAAAAACTTAACTATAGAAAATATTTCTTATTTTTTACAAGATACAAGTTGTTCGTTGAGTCTCAACATAAAATGTCACATGGGAGGATTAGAATGTCATGAGCAAGTTCTTGAATATCAAATTCAAACCCTCATTACCAACTGTTTCAGAGCAGTGTTGGATGAAGTGCTTTAAAACTCGGGTGATTGCCGATTCGGGTGGGAATCGACTAAGACCGAAACAGTTCCAGGAGAGTATAGGTCCCGACCGAGTTCCATTGTAGAACCCCTCTTATATAGTTTTTCCTTTTTTTTTATACTTATCTATTTTCTTTGATCCCCTCTAAATCCCTACACCATAAACCGTAATTTTAGTTTTCATTTTATTTTATTCAGTTTTTAATTTTTATATATCACCAATTGAGATTGATCCAAACTCAATCAAAATCATTGATCCAACGATCTCATACGGATATGTGGGTGAACAATCCGCCCCACCAATTCGGGTTTTAAAACACTTGTTGGATGTATAAGCAACTCATACTCTTACTTAGGCAATCAGTAAGTGAAAATTAAAATGGAGACCTTTTGAGCCCACGATAAGGTTCCACATCCTTCTTAAATGTCCCAATGGATTACAACGATATTGTTTGATTAACCCGGTGCTTGAAACTCCTTTAGATTTGGAGTTATATAATTAATTATATTTATTTTAATTATCAAATAATTTGTTGATTAAGTTAATGATAATTTGGGGGTCACAATTATTATTAAAAGTTGGATATGAAATTGGACGATTGAGGATGTGTCATTGATTGGGTACAATGTCCAAAGTAAAATTTCTCAAATGTTGTGACATACCTCAATCTATTGGATTTCACACCCAATGACTAAATTGTAACTCTACCAAAAGGTAGATGAAAATTAGAAAGTGCACATAGATAAGGTGGGACAAGAGTTTTAGTAGGATTGGGGATAAGGTTGATTTTAATATTGGGCAAAAAGATTTAGGTCTCCTATTTTAATGGATTTGGGAAATTTACCTAGAGATTCATAAGAGATTTAGATAGAGATGGATTTATGAGAAAGATACAGATTGGGAAATTTTGGTGGGTCGAGATTTAGGAAAATAGAGAGGAGAGAGAAAATAGGAGGGAGAGAAAATAGGGAGAGAGAGGCAACCCGCGAGGTTAAAAAATGAAAGTACATATTTTTTTTTAGAGAAGCTTTATTTTATTTGGGGTTTTTTAGTTATTTATTTATTTTATTTGAAGTGCATTTAAAGGGAAGAGGTCTCTCATTGTAAACAGATTAGAAAATGATCAGAGAGAGAGTTGAATAAAGTTGATATTGTGATAAGATCTTTTCGGGATGGATTCCCTTACAGATTTTGTTTTTGGGGTAGATTCTTTTGTAGATCTTGTTTTTTGGGTGGATTCCCTTGCATACCTTGAGAAATGTTTATTCTCTCAACTATTTTTTCTTTTTTTATTTTTATTATTCTAGTTGTTATTTTCTCCCTATAACAATTGGTATCAACGCTTTAAGATCCGTGCTCGTGGTGATATGGAGAGCCTTGAGATCTTAGAAGTTGTTCGAAGCGAAGTTCATGACATGAATCAACAGTTCCAACGATTGGATCAAAGATTTGATAGAATAAAAAAAGAGCTAGTAGAGAGTATTAGCAAAGTAGTAGAAAAAGATCTACGAGATGTATTTCGTATATTATAATCAAAACAAGAGGAAGAAGAATATGAAGAGGCGGCTCTTGATACAACAAACAATGCTGATAACCCTGGAGTGCAACAAGAATATAGAGAGGTAGATCTCGATACAAAAGACGACAACGATAACCCCAATGTGCAAGAAATTTTGAAAATCAATTATAAAGAAGAAGATATGCATGATGCAGTATTCGAAATCCAACCAAGTGAGTTTGATGGAGAAATCAAGGTTGAATCCAAAAGCATTGTGTTCTATCTTGAGATAAGCAAGAAGCATTCCATTAATCGACTTAATAAAGCAATTGAATAAAAGGTGTCGACGCGCATGGTGTAACTACATCACCAACTTTTGAAAAGGGCCGTAAAAGATTTGAGTTTGATAAGCTCGAGGTCGAGCTTCTCCCAACCCGGGAAGAATGATGCAGACAAAAATTTTGAAAGTGCGCATAAATAAGGTGAGGTGGGAGTTTTAGTAGGATTGGGTATATGGTTGATTTTAATATTGGGCAAAGGGATTTAGATCTCATATTTTGATGGATTTGGGAGATTTACCTTGAGATTTATAGGAGATTTAGAGAGAGATGGATTTATGGGGAAGATAAATACCAATAAATTTTAGTACGTGAGGATTTAAGAAAATAGGGAGGAATGAAAAACTAGAGGAGAGAGAAAATAGAGATAGAGGTGGCACATCAGGTTAAAAGAGAGAATATAGGGGAAGTACGTATTTTTTAGAGAAAATCTTTATTTTATTTAGATTTTTTTAGTTATTTGTTTATTTTATTTGAAGTGTATTTAAAGGGAAGAGGTTCCTCTAATCTTTATTTTATTTAAGGTTTTTTTATTTATTTTATTTGAAGTCTATTTAAAGGGAAGATGTCCCTCATTGTAAACCAGATCAGAGAATGATTAGAGAGAGAGAGTTGAACAAAGTTAATCTTGAGATAAGATCTTTTGAGGTAGATTCTCTTGAAAACTTTGCTTTTTGGGTAAATTCCCTTGCAAACCTTGTTTTTAGAGTGAATTCCCTTGCAGGTATTGGGAGATGTTTATTCTCTCAATTGTTGTTGTTGTTGTTATTTATTATTATTATTATTATTATTATTATCATTATCATTATCATTATCATTATCAATATTGTTATTTTCTCCCTGCAACAGTTGGTATCAGAGCTTTAAGATATGTGCTCAT